GTCTACACTGCGCTTGCGCTAACGAAAATACGGCAAATCAATTACCGCATTTCGTCCAGGTGCTTTGCGTTAATTACGGCTAAATTAATCTTGCGATCATCGGGGCAGGATGGGGCTGCCGTACGAAAATCGTACGACTATTCGATCATCGGACGAAAAGTTTCGTCCGATAATCGTAAGGTGTATGGGCACCTTAAGAGAGAATTTCCCCTTCATTTACGAGATTTCCCCTAACTTTCTGTTGCATTTCTGTGCCGGGAAATGAAGGGAAATGTCCTCAATGCTACAAAGACAGCAAACTTTTTTTAAAAGGGTTTTAACCCTTCCCTACTCTATCCAAACATGCACCTTAACAGGTGTCCGAATATTACTTCAAGCGTTTCCAGTGGATCAGAGAGCCGATACTGTATACAGCTGAATACCTCAGATAATCAGATCAAGACTTTATTAGTAAGCCCGCCAAGCTTTGATGAGTGTCATGGAAGTACCTTGTATTTATGGATTCATTGTAACTAAAATGACTGTACATAAATAATGAAAACGTAGGGGGGTAAAAACATTTGGGCCTTATTCACAGTTGCAATCATCTGCTGGTGGGAGGCACTGTACAATACAATAACAGCTACCACCACCTGCAGCTGTTCGCAGGCCGTTCGCATGTTATTGCACATGCTGCGGTTACCTGAGGATGACCACGCCTGAACATTTGCGATCCAGCTCCATACACAAGTGCCTAAGCTTTCAAGTAACAATAAAACCAAAACTGTTATAGTTTCCTTTTAAGTGCAAAGGAAAATGGTCTGTATATGTAACGAAAACAACGTTATCGCTTACCAAAGTCTCTATTTTGGGGGCTAATCTCAATTTCAGATGTGAAAAGGCTTTTCAAAATAGGTTTTATTTTTAAAAGGATGAGAGCTATGGAATACACCAAACGTATCACGCAGCTCATCAATGTGCTGTATAGTCATTCAAGTCATTTCAAAACAGAAGTTCCAGCAATGGTAATGAAAATGGTAACTACTGACGTTTCTCACCATCATAATCTGAAGCACTGTGCTGGGAGAGAGGTTTGCAATAGATCAGTCCACCAAATGTAACAGTTGTGACCGGTACCTATCCCTGATTATTTCAAATGGTGACATTTTTCTCATCATGAATATTATTTCCAGCAAGTCACAGTAGAAGTGTAGATGAAATCCACATATACAAACTTGCTAAAGTGCTATGCAAGAAACAATAGCTCCCCCTAGTGGCAATGAGAAGGTTCTACAAGTTGTGGAATTTATATGATTACTGTAACAGGAGTTCAGAGTAAGAGAAGGTTCATTTACAAAGTATTACTGGGGTTTTTTTTCACCCAACATTGCAATTTCAGATAAAGCTGAGCTCCGGGTAGATTAAAATCATCACTTCATGCAAATATATGCTCATTAACAATGATTAGTCCTGGATTAATACCAAATGGGTTGGGGCTGCACTGGCTGTTTTTTCCAGGGCAGTCCCAATGCAAGACACAGCAATTTGCCTTCTCACAGATGGGCTCAGTTCACACTGCTGAAAAAAAAAGTCCTACATGTAGTACCTTTTTCAGCTGCTGTGGGCTGTGACGTGGTACAACAGCATCGCACTGTGTTCTTCTCACAGAACTTAATGAAATATCACTCATGACATTTCAATAAAGTTCTCACACAAAGAGCGGCTGTGCATTGTAGTGCAGCTGCTGTGACAGCAGTCTAAGTGTATTTTTTAAAAGTACCCGAATATGACTTGCTACCTCATGTAGAGCAGACTGGGAGATAAAGAAGCAAAACAAAGAGCAAATAAATGGTACTGCAGTGCTCATATGCTGACAAGGTACATGCTGATAGGAGGAGAGGGCAGCGTGGCATATAGATGAGCTTATCAGATGCAGTTTCTACTTCACTGTTCAATCACAGGCTGGGTTGGGACAAGACTTGTTTTTCTTTACTTCAGTAATCCAGGTCTCCAGGCTGGCTTCACTGCAGGGATATGTGCATTTTAAACTGGATGGATAGTAACGCAACATTGGGAATGTTTTGTATTAGAAAACAACCACAGTATGAATAGAAATGCATTAGCACGCTGCATAGAAGGACCCTTGTTCTCAGTGTTGAAGCAGTGTTCTCTCTATAGAGGTCCAGCACACCCCCTTCTAAGGCAGCTTTGCAATCAGGAAAAACTCTAGCTCTGACTTAGCAGGGTGGAGATGGAACCTCAGCAGAGAGACCACTGCTTCCACACAGAGAGTAAGGGTTCTTATCTACAACATGCTGGTAGAGGACAGGAATTTCTATGGAGATTGCTTTTGAAAGAAATCTAAATACATGACTTGACTTGAAGCTTTAGTTATAATATTCCAAAATATTTGCATCTTATGGCAGCCTTACCTGTGAAAGCACTCTCCTCCAGCCATGTGACAGTCATGATTTACCTTGTCTCTCCATCACCACAGATGGCATCATCGCCTGGTCTACTTCTCGGTTTGGGACCTCTATCAATTGTGATTAGATGGATGTAACCCCTGCAAATGCACATGGGAGATGCTTAATTCTAGCACCCAGGGCATGCTGGGATTGTACACTGAGCTGTGCGTGGCTCAATGTACAATTCCAAGAACATTGCTGGCAGGTAGAAGAGGAGCTTTCATTGCAGAAAAGACATATGCAATAAAAGCATACCTGCCAGCAATTTGTAAAGGCCTCACGTGTATATTAACATACAAGGTGTCACCCAAGCATTGAGATCTTAAGCCTTTTGATAGGACACACAGTGTGCACATCTAGTTTACAAATGCTCTCATGTATTAAGCGGGGCAATGGGCCCTGCATTGGACATGTGGATATCAGTGGGCCTCCTATCGCCAAAGCAGTAGGGGCAGGAGGCTGCAGGTACCAGTCTTGTGCCCAGTACACTTGACAATTGGCATGCCTTAAAAATAACTGTTTTGGGAGACATTAAATTGGTGGGTAAAGTTCCTCTTTTAGGCCTCATTCACACTGTAATCGGACGGCATGTACAGCTCTGCTGCGTGCACGGGCGGGTGAGCAGGGGGGCGTAGAGCTGCAAAGTCCCATGGAGAAGGACGGGGGCTGCGTACTAATCCCATGCAGCACCTGTCCTTCCCGGGAGCTGCCCGATACGGCTCTGCATGCAGCACGGAGCTGTATGTGCCGGCTGATTACAGTGTGAATGAGGGCTAAGGAGGAGGCTGGGGAGTTATGTTTACCATAATGAATCCTGATTGTACTGTGCTGGCAGATTTTCCTTACCATTTTGGGATCCATCTGGAGCATTACAAGTGACACATCATCTGGAGTGAAAGCTACTTAAATTAAATCAAGGATACAACAATATTCGATACTTTTCAGTATCCGACCTATCCACTACCGGCCGCCTGCCACCCGTGAGGGGTAACTATAATTCATTTTGCCACCATATTTATTAATTCATATGAAGCCGTTGCAGGGAAATCTCTATTATTTTTATGTTTTAAATGTTTGTTATTTATATGTTTATACTTTTTCTAATTCAATTAAAATTATATTGACAATATTTAGTTGTTACTAATTATTAATTCAGACCGCTCCTTTATGGGATTTCCTTGCTGCTAGAGGGAACCTATTATACAAAACTGTTAATGGAAGCTGTGAATACTGTTTGATGTTTTGAGTTTTTGAGCGGTAAAAGCGTTTAAAGTGTTCCCTATGGGAAATTTGGGGTATTAAAGTTTTTTGCGGCTTCACAGGCAAACGCAATTTAAAGGCTTGACATGTTTGGTATCTATTTACCGGGCGTGATCCCGTCTTTCATATTTTACCAAAAAATTGGGTATTATATTATGTTTCTGTGCACTACATTTTGATTTAGTTTATGTTATGCTAAAAATACCGGTTTGATAAACATATACGCGCAAATACTGTGTGACAAAAAAACTGCAACTAGCATTTTTTTTATTCTACAGGGCCTCTGCTTTCAGAAAATATATAATTGTTTGGGGGTTTGAAGCTGTTTTCTAGTCAAAAATGTATATTTTATCATGTATGTGCAAATAGTAAGAAAATGCCCCGGACATCAAGTGGTTAAGGACATTCGACCAGAAGAGAAAATAGCCACAAGAGCATTCGATTGCACCCCATTCTCAGCAGGCTGGATCATTCACACGGAATGAATGTACATCCAGCTTTGCTGGATGTGGATGAATATCTAGGAGATGAGAAATAATGAATCATTTTGTATATGTGACTGTTGATCTTCTGGGTACCAGTGAAAGGGCCTAGTGCACCCACCGTGGAAGCTGTGTGCCTTTGGCTACTGAGCCCTGTGAGAGTGCACATTCTGCATTGTACCTGCAGAGGGCGCTAATAATGGCTTGACTGACCACCGTGGATGCTGAGCCTTGGCTGTTAGAATGTATGTACCAGCAGAGGGCGCTGTATACAACACACCAACGCGTCAGATGTTCCTGTTCTGTTATTTACGAAGCAATTTGACATGTGCCACTCGCCAGCTCCTAGCTTATGGTAAAGTAAAACCCATACAGTGAGCGTTCGGTGCATGACGATTGTTGTCGGTCTTCGGGAAAATGGCCGCAGGCTCAGACACTCAAGCACGTTTCTTGTGGGCGCGAAGTGTCTTGCATGGAAGCAGCTTTCCTCTTTATTTACCCCGCACCGTGTTCAATAGCAATAACCAGGCATTAGAACAAACAGGGAATATAACATACAGGTGTCGCCCCCATTACCAGTGCTACCTGAAGCTTCTATGCCAGAGCAACACACACCAAGCTGGCACACAGAACACTACAAACACACAGCCAGCTTGTGAGCCGTGACTCCCCCTCCTCGTTCTTATGAGGCAAGGGAGGGGCGCTGTGGGTTCTCAGCCAATCACATTGATGGAGAGTGCTTAGGGTGTCACTTGTACCCGGGCGGCACACTGCCTACTCTGGATTTCCGGAAGAGCTGTAGGTGGCACGGCGGCTAGCACAGCCCTTTGACTAATTGCAGGTGGGAGTTTCTGCATGGCTAAGCCCCTTGCTTGATGCGCAGTGTTAGAGAGCAGGAAATGCATTATGTTATGGGATGTTTAGAAACAGGGAGAGGAGAGAGGGGTTCTGGGAAGGGGTAAAGATAACTTCTGCTTATATATCAGTTGGACACATGGTAGGGCAAGCATCAATATATTCAGAATGGGAGAAATCCTGGCAATAGAAACCTGGAAGTGATTTATATGACTTTAAAAGAGTGGTCCACCTTTGTGGCCATGTTTCAGGTTACAGCCATACCCAGATAGCAAACAATTGAGCTGCAAGTTTGAAAACGATTTGCTAAACTATAGCTAGACTTGCCAAGCTTCACAATTTTGTTGCAGAATTACAGCAAGTCTGCATTGCAAGTCTCCAGACCAACGTGCTTTGCAAAAGTGCTGTACACTTGCAGAGCTCTTGCTAAGACCTGCAGGGCTCTTGCTGTAGACTTGCCAAGCAAATTTGCTACAAATTCAAAAACTGTCAACTAGAACTTGTGCTGCAAGTGTTCTGCAAGTCTACAACTTGCCAGGAATGTGTGCAGCAAGTTAACAAGAATTACAATTTACCCTGCCACAAGTTTGTGACAAGTTATCCTTGCTATCTGGGTATTTAGGCTTCATTCACATGTGTTCTGGGATCCCTGCGGCAAGAACTTACATATTCTTATGGCAGGAATCCCAGGTGTTCCCGTTCACATGCAGCTACTGTATCTATTTTAGTTAAAGTGACAGGAAACTCGGGAATTAAATCGTAAAATGCATTTAGGTTCCTTAACATCAATGTATCTTTATTTGTGTATCACTCAGCTATAGATCCTCAAATCATCTCTGAATTGGTGCCGACACTGTCCTTCCTTCTGGAGGGTGGCTACCTTTGTTCCCCATGGTCCCTGTGTGTTATAAAGTAGTCACTGCTCCAAGCTCACTTTCATGATGGACTACAATCTCAATACAACTTAGACTTCAATCTCACGTTTGTTTTTTATCACAGGAGTGAGCTTGGAGTGGTGGCTACTTTACAACACAACACAGGGAACATAGGGAATAAAAGTAGCCACCCTCCAGAAGGAAGGACAGTGTCCGCATGAATTCAGAGATGATTTGAGAATCTACAGCCGAGTGATACACAAATAAGATACATTTATGTTAATAGTTATGGTACTTGAATCTATTTTTAAGATTTAACTCCTGAGTTTAGTGTCACTTTAATTACAGGGTGACATTGGCTGCTGTTACTCTGTGTCGGTGTCAGTTGTGGCGCTAAAATGGGAAACCTGCATCTCTGATTTGTGCTAAGTTCTGCTTTCAGACCAGTACTGTTTTTTTTGTAAATGCAGCCGACTACAACTTGTCACTGAGCAGCCGCCTGCTCCTTCTCTATAAGCAGCCACACGGTTCTTTGCTTACACTTGACGGGTGACTGAAAAACAGTATAAACAAAGCAGTGTTTGGCTACCTACAGAGGAGTAGTCCACTGGTTGCGTATCAAAAAAGAAGCACTGGCCTAAAAGCAAAGCTTAGCATAGATGGGGGGTGCACACTGCATGTTGACATTGCATTTGACACTTTCAGGCATTGGAGCACATTTTTGAGCCTTTCTCTTCAGCTTCAGAGGGGTTGAGGTCCACAGTCTGCTGGGCTTCTATGATGTCATAAACAAGATGGTGGCACCCAGCAGTGTTTCCAAAGAGCTTTGCCCCACGTGAAAAGAGGAGTCTTGAGGGCAATAGCAGATGACAGTAATAAAGCATCAAATTAAACAAAACCTTTGGGGACAGGGACTCTTTAGAATTACCCACAGTTCATCTGGCAGAGTTGAGAGCCAGAGCCAAACTGAAAAAAATTTGTAAGAAAAATAGTTGTTTATCCCTGACATTCAAGGATCATTATGCGTTATATTACAGCATTAGATAATATATATATATAGAGAGAGAGAGAGAGAGAGAGATAGTTAGATATATCTATAGATATATTTGTATACCTGTGCAGGATTAATTTTTTTGACTCTGACATGCATTTTGCATTTTCCAGCAATGGCTTCTTCCACAGCTTTGGTTTATGATGAAGAAATGACAAGCTATAAGCTGCTTTGGGACAAGTAAGTAAAATAATCATACAACAGCTATGAATAGGATGTAAAACTTTAAAAACATCGTAAAAATAAGATTTATAATGTAAAGTGTAAGTATAGATAACTGCATAAGCAAGTGCTGCCTAATCATTTTGTTAAAACAGAACTAAACACGTGAGAGCAAAAAAAAAAATAGCTAGATGGTAGAGACAAAATCTCTTGTGCCAAAAAATCTCCCTTTTATCTTTTAGCATTTTTTATTTGTATGTACACAGGTGCAGTGTAAACGCCTTGCTCATTCCCAGCATCTGTAAATTGGCAAAAATGGAGCCGGGGATGATGTAACTCCTGTGCGTGTTCACAGGAGTTGCATCATCAGTGGCCGAAGAAGAGTAAGGTGGGACCTGAAAGAAGTGGCAGAAAAGACAGTGCTGGAGGAGTGCATTCTATTAGTTAAAGCCCATTTTCACCCTTGCAGAGGTATTTTTTTAAAACATGCTAGTAATGTATACCAAGTGTACATGAAGCAGGCATATGCATTTAATGTATATGAACACAGAAACTTAGATTTTTTGTTAGCTTTCCTCTTCATAGCTGCATGAAAATGACCGCTGTACTGTGCCAGCAATGTGTGTATATCTACCCCCCTCAGGAGTTAAATAGTAAAAATGTATTCAAGTACCTTAAATTATAACAGAAATGTAACTTACTTGTGCATCACTCGGCTGTAGATCCTCAAATCATCTCTGAATTGGTGCTGGCACTGTCCTTCCTTCTGGAAGATGGCTACTTTTGTTCCCCATTGTCCCTGTGTGTGTTGTAAAGTAGTCACCGCTCCAAGCTCACTCCCGTCATGGATTACGACAAGCACATACAAATAATACGAACAGCGCTCTCTGATTGGGCCAAGGGAATAGGGTGCTGTAGCTCTACCTCGCCTGCAGCCCTAGGAGACAGGAGGAGTGCCTGCACTTGTGGAACCAAAAAACAAACGTGAGGGCGCAAGGCTAGAGGGACTATGAAGCTGATTGAAACAAAGTGAGGGAAGCAAGAGGAGATTGATCACTTACATTTAAGTGGGTCTCGGAACAGGATGAATGTGGAACAGTGAAGGAAATCGTGGAGTCCAGCGTAGTGCAATCAGTGAAGGTTGGTGTGTTGCCTTGGGTAGCTCATCACAGGAAAATGAGAAGAGAGGGGTGGACAGGGGTGCAGGTGATGGCACAAACAGTGTGTCCGTGTCCCCGCTGAAGCAATGTGAAGTGCCAGTGATGTGAGGACTGACGTCAGGCTGGGCTGCAGCTGCGGGTGGAGGAACTCGGGCTGTGAGATGGACGTGTCTGGGCCAGTGTACGTGCCATGGTGATGATGCAGGATGGAGAATCGGGCGGGATGGTGGTAAGGTGAGGAAGGATCAGGTTGGTAAGGTAGTGGGTGAAAGCTCGGGAGCAACGCGTTTCGAGGATGTTACCTCTTTGTCAAGCTCATTAGTGAGCATGAGTGGCCCAGACACGTCCATCTCACAGCCCGAGTTCCTCCACCCGCAGCTGCAGCCCAGCCTGACGTCAGTCCTCACATCACTGGCACTTCACATTGCTTCAGCGGGGACACGGGGACACTGTGTGCCATCACCTGCACCCCTGTCCACCCCTCTCTTCTCATTTTCCTGTGATGAGCTACCCAAGGCAACACACCAACCTTCACTGATTGCACTACGCTGGACTCCACGATTTCCTTCACTGTTCCACATCCATCCGGTTCCGAGACCCACTTAAATGTTAGTGATCCATCTCCTCTTGCTTCCCTCACTTTGTTTCAATCAGCTTCATAGTCCCTCTAGCCTTGCGCCCTCACGTTTGTTTTTTGGTCCCGTCATGGATTACAATCCTAATACTAATTAGTAAACTAAACATGAGTTTGTAGTCGATCACAGGAGTGAGCTTGGAAAGGTGACTACTTTACGACACACACAGGGACCATGGGTAAAAAAAAAGTAGCCACCCTCCAGAAGGAAGGACAGCGTCAGCATGAATTCAGATATGATTTAAGGATTTACAGCCGAGTGATACACAAATAAGGTCAAGTATTGTTAATAGTTAAGGGACTTAAATGTATGTTTAAGATTTAATTTAAATATAATTCCTAATACCTTAAACCTCCGCTGACCAAAGCTGTTCTCTATTGCTTTGCTTCAGGCAGCTTTAGTCACATTATGTGTACAAGACGGCTTCGTTCCTCCCTACCACAGAATACCAGAACAAGAAATAATTGCACACCACTAACTCTCTGATCTTCTAGATTGAGTATGCATATATTATTCCATCAGCACTGTTTGGAGTACAGGAACCTCAACAATCGGCAGCGTGCAACTTATTATAAGGTTGTTGATGTGTTAGAATGTACTGTAATCTCTTTCATTTGTTTCCAGTGCAGAGTGTGCTATTGAGAACCCAGAAAGAATATCCATATCTTACAAGAGTCTACAGCATTATGGACTTGTAGAGAGATGTCTACAGTTACCAGTCAGGGAGGCTACAGAGGAAGAGATAACAATAATTCACAGGTGCATCCGTGGATAAAGATTCTATGTGTTTGCATGTCACTACTTATGATCCCTCTGGATGTAAATGATGGACTCCTGTTAGATATTACTGTGTAATTTTCTGTACCACAAAAAGTAGATATAAAAGAAGATTGTGGAAAAGAGAGCACACGGGAGGACTAGCCACCCTGCAGAAGGGGGACAAAACATTTTGTAACTGGTATTGTCAGAACCTCCGTGTATCTTAATTAGACCGATGTAGATTAGTCAGTGAGACAATTCTATAATTAAAGACATATAGTGCTTTTTATATATATTTATATCTATCTATAGATATATTTTTGTTTCTTGAAAGTGAAAAAAAACATTAAATGGTATTAAGAATATGAAATATGGCATATTTTATATTTAACATTTTTAGCTGGTGGAGCTCTCAGCTTTCCCAGCCGCTATTATCTGTTTTGCTAGAAAAGACTGTTTAAATAGCTCAAGCTCAAATTTTCACAACTAAATGAGTCAGCACCTGCCTTTTTAGAGTGCTCCTAGAAAGTTCATTCAGAGAGAGACACAAACTGGGCAAGGCAAATAGTTTCTGATGTGCTCTCTAGAAACCCCATAATACTCTTTGAATCATCATAAGTTGTTATTTGTAAAATAAAATGGTAATATAAAAATATATATAAAATTTGACCCCAAAAAAGGAGCCCAAACCATTAAAGTTTTACTTTTAAATCAGCTCTATTACTTCTCTAAAATAATACAGGCAGCTGTGCGTTGTAATAGAAGAAGCTGAATACTTGCTTGTTCTCCACTGGGGGTCATGGTCCCTGTCCGCTCATGCATCCTATAGTAACATAGAAGCCAGCAGAAAAAAAACACAGATGGGTATACGTTATCCACTATTTCAGATTGTGACTTGCGTACACATTCCTGCATTTGTGCATGCTGTAATTTTGTTAAAGGAGAACTATGGGGTTAAGGCTTTTCCCCATAGTAAGAACTCCGGTATGTGTTTGGTCACCTCCCGATCTACTGAGCCGACCTGTGACAGTCTCATTGTCACAGGTCGGCTAGAACTATGAGGTGAGTGAAAAGCACTCACCTCATAGTTCTCCTTTAACATTAGGGATGCACCGATATATCGGCCACCTAAACATATCGTCCGAAAATGGCACTTTTGACATAATGCCGAAAGTGCCATTTTCGGGCCGATACAGCCGTGCATCCGTTCTTTCTCTCCTCCCCTCTGGGCGCCGCACTGCGTCCTAGCGGGTAGGAGAGAAACTGTGACAGGAGGCTGAGCACTGCAGGAGGAGAGCGCTGTGAGTGGCTGGCGTCTCTCCTCCCCGCACCGCTCAGCCTCCTGTCACAGATCAGAGGAGAGCGGTGTGTGGGCAGAGACAGCCAGCGCTGTCACCGCAGGCTCTGCTCCGCTCGCTCGGCCTCCTGTGACAGCATGTCAGGATGGAGAGCGGTACAAACACTCAGTGATCGCTGACTGTTTGTAGATAATTGAGGACAGAGTATGGTTACTATATCCTCAATTATGAATGAATGGGAAGTGATCTACATCACCTGTTCATTCATGATTGTGGATATAGTAAACACACTCCGTTCTCAAGTTATGAATGAACAGGTACACTCAGTATAGAGGATTTCTGTTCATTTATAACTGGGGCTGCAGAAAAGAGATTGAGGACTCTGTGTTCTCAATCTCTTTTTCTATTTTAAAAGGGAAATATCAGGGGTCTGTTTAGACCCTTAATATTTTCCCAAAGCCCCTAAAAGTAAAATATTCAATAAAAAAATAAAATATAAAAAACATTTTTTTTTTCGTTTTAGGTTTCGTAATTTTCATTTCGGTGCGCCTCTAGTTACAATTATTATGGATAGTGAACTTTTCTGGCTTATCAGCAAATTTCTATATTTGATTTTAGCCCAGAATACCTTGAGGTAGTGAAGAGCACACAGACCATGGATGTAGAAGAACTCAGGAAGACTTCAGAGAAGTATATTGCTGCATTCTTTCATCCGGTATGATCACAGTCTAATTTGAGAATATAAATTATACATTACTATTACATAAATGACTTATTATTCATACAGATTTTGTAACATTCATGGAGAGATGTGTACAAGTCTCATGAGATTACCAGAAAAATGATGTATTTGACATGATGGCATTGTGTGGGTGGGTGTAAGGAAATATTTTACAGCACGAAGCTGATTTTCTATTCTAAATTCTTAGCTGCCATGTTGGTGTGGGTACTTTTATATACCGGGCTGTAAATGTCATTAATGGTTTTTACTTCATGTGTTTTTTGTAGGTGTGCAGTCCTGTAAATTGATTGGATATTTGTCAAGTTAGACAACTCGAATTAATACTGGAATGTATACTAAAAATCTGTAGAAACACTTGTAAATGTAAAGAAGATGTAAACCCTAACTATCTGAGATTTTGTTTGCTAAACAACTATGTATGATAAACAATTACCATGTCTTTCATTCTCTGTTCAATCTCTGCACTGCTGGCTTTGTGTAGCCTCTTTGCAGCCACTTCATTCACTTCACTTACAGCCACTTACTTTTGTAATTGTATTAACATGTTAATGCTGAACTCTGAGCACATATAAAAGACACAAAGAACGCAGCTCTGTATTTATTTAATATTAAAAAGATAAATATATATATATATATATATATTAGAACAAGCATTGAAAGTACCTGAATCTGACCTGGTATCAGACAGACTAGAATATGAGAGGAAGAAGCAGTACAAGGAGCCAATCAGTTCATTTACTGACAAGAAGCATACTGATAGGTAGAGAAAACAGAGTGACCGAGAGATGAACTCATCACTGTGCTGCTTTTCCTTTCACTGCACATTAACAGACTGGGGTAGGCTCTGGTCAACCTAAGCTTAAAGCTAAAATCCAGCCACAAAGCAGCGACTATTTGCATGCTACTTCCTTACCTTGTCCAATTTATTGGCGGCTGCCTAGGTAGACGTTTTCTAGAAAGCAACGAACACCCCTGAGCGCCACCCACCCACAATGCCTAGAAATACACTGTATTCCCATTTTTTCAAAGGAATTGTATTTCCCTCCTGCTAAAAACATCAGATGCCAAGGCGCCGTTCAGTTTTCAAAAGCACCCTATGGCATTATAAGGCATAAAAAGCTAAATTAAAAAAAAGAATAGCTGGTTTTGTTATATCTTGCAAGAACATGAAATGAATATCTATAATTAATAAGATAAAACAAATACTAAATTCCTGCTAATTAAATAATCACTAATAACTTGTAATTCAGTGCAAAATATTAAGTTAGGGTGTGTAAATATTCTGCCCTTTTAGTATCTCTACTTTATCATTTACCTGTGTGCATGGACAAGCAGCTTCTTTGGAAAGATTAATGATCATTGTACAGAGGTTTTGTTCTTCCTGTCCCTTGCAGCAAAGTAAGAGTGACAAGAAGATAACTCTGTGCCTATATCTGTTCTGTATAGTGCATGCTTGGAATCCTGATCTGAGTATACTTCCTGTTTAAAGACTTTGATGTTTGTTTTAATGTTTACCACTGTAAATCTGAAGCAGTTGTCTAATAATTGTTCTTGAAAGTAATTGTATACATAAGATGGAATTTATTGCATTACTTTGGTGAAGAAACACTGACTCCTTTTTCTATAGAATTCGTACCGCTGTGCTAAGTTGTCTCTTGGTGGCACATTGCAGCTTGTTGATGCTGTGATGTCTGGCGATGTACGCAATGGATTGGCTCTTATTAGGTAATAAATGTTTGAAAGCAATGTCTGTGGTTAATACTAAAGTTTGAGGTTTGGTGCTAAGAAGTCACTGCAGAATGCAGCTATGGTATATTCTCATCCACCTTCCACAAGCTGGTTTTAGCACTTCTTTCAGTCTCCGCCAAAGTCTGCCATGATCAGTGATCTGAATAAAATATTCCAGGTTACTTTTATAGCCTTTAAGTGTAAAGCCAAACTCCTGGAAAAAAATGCACATGCTGCACTAGTAAATAATCATTGTAAAGCTGTATTTTTTATGTGACGAGTATGCGCATATGAGCTTGACACTGGGTGAGCATAACCGTCTGGCAAGCAGCATTATCAGAAGGGGGTCCACAATGGCAGCCCCTACAATTCTCTCATGGCAGGTTTACTTTAAATACCAAACAGCAAGACATCCAAGCCATTGTGTTTTTGTTGGTTACTTTATTTTATAGTCTTTTGTAACATATACTATTATTTTCTATGGTTGTTTTTATGTTGTAGTTTAAGAAGTGCAATGTTATGTGTTTTTCCAGACCTCCAGGACATCACAGTCAACCAAGTGAGAGTAATGGATTCTGTGTATTTAATAATGTTGCAGTAGCTGCTAAATATGCAAAAACCAAATACAACCTTCAAAGGTAACTATTATAAGTACAGTGTCTTATTATTTTTCTACATTTGATTATAAAAGGAGATGTAAATCTTTATAAAACCTATACTGTATATGCCTTAAGTGACAAATGATAAATCTGCCACTTATAGACGTTACTGTCCACCTACAACGCAGCAGGTTGATATGCCTGCATATCAATTCATAATCTTGTCACTCTTGAATTATTTGAAGCTGCAACACTGTTCCCACTTTTGCCATTGCTGGTGCATCTTGTTGCAAACAACTCTGCAGTGATTTCAACAGATTGTATGCACAGTACGTTGAAGGACCAGTGTTTTCTTTTATCCCTTATTTTTTTTTTTCTTTCTTTTTTTTTTTAAATGAATAAAAGATATGTATATAATACACTGTGCTTTTGTCATATCCAGTACCTTTTATTTTTTTGCAGCTCACTACAAAGCACATAAAACCTTGGATCTTTCATCTGTATTAGGGCCTTTTTCTCTTTCTTTTTAACTAAACATTTGTATTTATTTTGACATGTTGTAATCTCTTTAGGTACCAAGCCCATTTAATCCCAATCAGTCAGTAGTGGATTTTTTCAGAGTGGTCACGTTTATTTCCATCAATGCTTTACTTTATTTCATGTTGTTATTGAGACCTGACTTCATGGCTAAGCACTGCCAACTGACATTTGATTGTCAAATGAGACTACTTCATTGACCAGTAAAAGCACTGTCATTAGGGAAGGTGGGTGTTATTTATTGTTCAAGAGAGTGGTTCTACTGGCAAGTCTTTTTGGGTAATAGAGTGGCAATTGGTAGGGCTTAGCCATGAAGTTAGGGAAAGTCAGGCCTCAGTAGCAAAGTGAAAATAAATCACAAAGGGGTACTTTTAATAGTTTAAGATTGAGTCCCGATTTTACTTTAAAGGACAACTGTAACTTTTGTAGAAGTTGTCCTTTTAAGGCATGCAACCACCCCACCTAAGTGCATCCCACCTGATAGTTAGCTTCACCCTCGATCCAGTGATTTTGGATGTGTGGCTCCTGCCTGGAGCATCTCTACTGGGTCCACCTACGGCGTGGATGTTTTCTGAAGCAAGGCTGTACTGCTCTGGGCAGAACAACACAATGAAGATTGCTGGATAGAGGATGAACTTAAGTATTTCTCTAGGTGTGCTGCATTCCGTGATGTGGGGGGCAAGCCTTAAAGAACAATTTGTACCAAAGCTATATGATTGCTCACCTTTTATGCTGAAAAACATTCATATATTGGTGAATTTAGTTCGTGTTTGCGGTAAAAAAAAAAATGATTGCAATCATAAAAAAGTGGTGTTCCTTTGCTTTCTGTAATTCAAGCTGTAATAGTTGTATCAAAGTGACTTTGCAAAAACCATTTATAATTATGCATACTGTTATGCGACTTCTAAAACACATTTCTTTGTAATTATTATTTTAATATACAATTTTGTTACAGAATTTTGATTGTTGACTGGGATATTCACCATGGACAAGGGATCCAGAACATCTTTGAAGATGATCCAAGGTGCATGCTAAGTATTCGTATGTCATCCTAATTTCTACCATAAGATAAAATGTGTTAATTGCCTCAGAACTATGAAGAAAAGGGCTGTCCATACTTATAAGCAGCAGGCAATTAGCTTTATAAATATTGCATGCCAAAGGTGTAAATCCAACTCCATTATTTCACCTCTCACCCCTACATTTTTAAAATGTTCCTAATGAATGTGTAAATTCCAGACATCTTCTGGTCATTTACATCGCAAGTAGGATCCTCTTCTTACAGTTTCTTCTTTACTCCCGAGGTGGGTGTTTTCTAATTGCTGCAGAAAATGGTGCTAAAATCCTGACATAAAGCCCAGCGCAAACTGCTGGCGGTATATAAATTCTTTATAATAATAATAATAATGGCGTGAGCTTCATACTCTGCTTAAACTGTAATGATGATGAACCCCCATGGGTTGTGCCCATAACAGCCTGGACTTAAAGAAAGTGGATTGAATGACCAGAAGAGACCTAGGGCTGGAAGATGGATGGACAAGCACTGTGGAGAAGGCATTTTTATTTCAGCAGTTTTAGGGCAATTCAAAAAATATTTCCAAAAGCTGAAGTTGGGCTCAAAGTCTTTAATTATCTGTCCTGCTGCCTTCATGAAAGAATAGATAGGTCCATCAGCTGAGATGACATTTTGTCACCAGACATCCCAAACAGACTTTTTGGTAGTCTTTGCTGGCTGGTACACACCGGGCATTCTAGAAGTTGTGTTTTATTCAGTGTTTATGTTCATACTGATAATATGAATCCAGAGCACAACACACTGTGTGGGATGATTTATTGACCTATTGTGACTATACATCATTTACCCATTATACTCTGTACTATAGTGTCCTTTACTTTTCCTGGCATCGCTATGAACATGGATCATTCTGGCCAAATCTGCGCGAGTCGGATTACGATTTCATTGGTAAAGGCAAAGGAACAGGCTACAATATAAATCTTCCATGGAACCAGGTATGAAGTTCAGGGTCCTTTTATACTGCTTATCATAATCTAGAAATCTGCTTAAAAACAACATGTAATACAAACTAAAGTTCAGATTGTGCAATTACTACAATAGTATTCATGTCTTAAAGGTTCAGTCCAATGTGAGAAACCTCCTCTATATGTTTGTTTTAGGTACCCATTCACACAGCATACCTAAAAAAAATACTTACCTTTTCTAGCTGTTTCTTAGGTGCAGGATTATTCATAGGACTCTACAGGCAGCTTCTAGTAGTTAGAATAGATACCTGTGAGCTGATAAGGGACTGACTGATGGACAGTTTTTTTTTTAAAGTTCATTAACCTACAATGTCTTCCAAGTCTTTATCCCTTTGTGATAATGAAATCTGCCAGCGCAGTACAGACAGGGTTATTCATTTGAAAGAAACCTTCCCCCAACCCCTAAAGAGTAAGAACTAAGCAAGATTTTTCAGTTCCGGAGTTTGCAGAAACATGGAAAAAAGGTAAGCTGCATTTTTTACTTTTTTTTAAACTACCTGCCGGCCAGCCGTTGCGTATACACGGCCGGCCGGGAGCTTCTTAGATGTAACTGGGCGTGTATACACGTCCTGTTACATCCGCCCGCTCCGGCGCGGCACGCGGGAAATCCCCGCTATTTGAAAACAGGCAGCGATGCCCGTTAATATACAAGCGATCCGCCGGCTACAGAGCGGGCGCATCGCTTGTATGAGGCCCCCGAGACGTGCGCCCCCTCCGCGGCTCCCCCCTCCCTCCCGCTGTCAAGCTGGTCCCGGCCTCTGTCACAGGGGATCAGAGGGAGCTCGGTACACGAGCTCCCTCCGGTCCCCTCTCCGCTGTCAGAATGCGGAAGTGATGTATATTACATCACTTCCGCATTCTCGTGTCACTCTCCTGCTTCAGATGCTTGAGAGAAACTGATGAAGCATATCTCTGCTTCATCAGCTTCTTCAGGGGGGTCCTAGGTGACATTAGGGGTCTTGGAGACCCCTGATGTCTCCATAAAGAGTCACCTCTTTTGCTATCACATAAGGGGGTTTCTCACCCCCCTCTGTGATCGCAATAAAGTTAAGTGGAAAAAAAAATAGTAAAACAATTTTAAGTTTCCCCCCAAATTTTTTAAAAGTTACACAAAAAAGAATTAAAAAAAACAAAATTTTTTTTTAAAGTCCCCACCCCTACATACACGCATGTAAACATGCGTCAGGTGCGCATACCTGCGAAAATGACGATTGCGCCCATAACGCCACACATGTTACATATCGCCGCGAACGTCAGAATGAGAGCAATAGTTCTAGGGCTATCAATCACTGATAACACTAAACTGATGAGCGGTAAAAGCTTTTAAAGCGTCGCCTAGGGCCAATTTTGGGTATGCTAGTTTTTTGCGAGTGCGCGCAATTTTTAAGCTTGACATGTTTGGTGTCTATTTACCCGGCGTGACCCCGACTTTTATATTTTACCAAAAAAGTTGGTAATATTAGTTGTTTTATAACATAATGTTAAAAAAACTTTTTTTTTTCCAGTAATTTCTCCTGAATATAGTAAAAAATAAAACCTGCAGTGGTGATTAAATACCACCAAAAGAAAGCTCTATCTGTCCCCAAAAAATAGTATAAAACTCATTTCAGTACAGCGTAAATGTCAGTCAAAGTACTGCAGCGCTGAAAACACTGAAAAATGGCCTGGCCAGGAAGGGGGTCTAAACACCTGGTCTTCAAGCGGTTAATATATGCTATATGAATGGGAACATGTAGCAAATGTAAAGTTTTGTGTTTTTTCCCATTTGGCAATACACTTGAAGAGCAATTAAAATCGGTCAATTCTAGCTATTCACGGCTCCTTAATCTGAGAATTGCCTAATCCACTGCAGAGCCAGATGTCACCCATTTTTTTACAGGTACAGTGGCTAGGCTTGCTTTTGGCAGCCTTTGCTATGTAATTTTCTCTCACTTTGATGTGTAAACGAGATTATACTTTTCAAGGCAAGTTTGAATCTGACTGTAGCTGTGAAGATGTTCTGCTGAAATATCAAGCTATCTGTTCTCTAGCACAGTCTGTATCATTGAAATATACATTGTTACATTTTTGTTTTTCAGACTGGCATGAGTAATGGTGATTATATTGCAGCCTTCTTCCATGTGCTTCTTCCTTTAGCATTTGAGGTAAGTTTTATGAAGCTAATGACTCATTTTCCAGGGTCTAGTCATATTGGACTCCATCTTGATCTTAATTACAGAAAAACTCCAGGAAATAACAAAATTAACCTTTCCAGTGGGGTTGTAAAGCAAATATGTTGCGCTAGGTCTATGTGAACCAACTGCACACTAAAGTGTTAATAAACAAATCTGTGTGTAAAAATTACAACAATCCGTGTGAAAAAATTGATTCAAGTGGATTATTTACATATGACTAGAAGGTTCAACACACAAACATAATAAGAATAATAAAAATCAACACTGGAACCTTCAGAATTAGTGCCAGTGATCAACCTCATTGGTTTAGCATGTATATTTTAAACACGTGAACCTCTGGCCAGCGGTGTAGTAAAACAACACAGAAAACTAAAATTTAAATCGTGATATTAATTCAAGCTGTGAACAAACTTTGAAAAGGAAGGAGGGAAATGTCAGTTTCTTTGCTGTTATTATTTTAGAGTTTTGATTTATTTGCACGTTTTTTTTTTGTTTTTTTTTGAGTATTGGAGGGCCACCACAGAGCCCCTCCTTCCTTTTCAAAGTTTGCATATGACTAGAAGGTTCAACACACAAACATAATAAGAATAATAAAAATCAACACTGGAACCTTCAGAATTAGAAATCAATTTTTTCACACGGATTGTTGTAATTTTTACACACAGATTTGTTTATTAACACTTTAGTGTGCAGTTGGTTCACATAGACCTAGCGCAACATATTTGCTTTACATTTGTTCACCTATACACATTGTTGCGGCTGGTCCAATCAGGTAGTTAGGCACGCATTCCCAGCGCAGTGATTTCTGTGATATACTGTATTTCCAGTGGGGTTACCTCATCACTGCAAGGGTTAACTGCTCGTTTTGGTCTAGGGGCTGGATTAAAGAAGATACTTATCCTAGATCCTGCGTCGCATTCACCTGCATTTAGATGTAAGGACGCCAAGGGATATACCGCAACCAGAGCGAAGGAGGTAAGAGGTGAGCGCTCACTGCCACAGGACTGAGATTCAGATGCTTTATATTTTCTTTATTTTCGCCCCTAGACCAATACGAGCTTGCAGTACGGGGGTAGCACCACTGCAAGGCCTAATTTTGTTAATTCCTGGAGTTCCTCTTTAAAGGACAGTATTTACATTTTCATGTACAGTTTAAGAGGAGGGAGCTTTGAAAATCCTGTGCAGTACGGCAAAATATTATCAATAATCTTGTATTGTTTGTGTTTTCAGTTTAATCCTGACCTTGTCTTGGTATCAGCTGGCTATGATTCGGGGATCGGAGACCCAGAGGTATGTATTTGGTGGACAAAAATGATGCTTTAGAAGAACTATATTTTTAATGGGATTCTGTCGTGAACACAACAAGTGATAAGGCTCTGATGAAAGCAGGCAGCACTTAATCCAGTATTTGACTGCCTTTGTCAGAGCCCAACCACATAGGTATTTTGCTATATGACAAATTGCCATTATTTAATTGCATATTATTTATATTTATACGTGTGGAGATAGTTATCATTGCGTTACTGAATGAAGGTGGTGTATACTTCTGTATTTGCAGGGATGTATGCACGCAACCCCAGAGTGTTTTTCCCACCTCACTCATCTGCTGATGCACGTTGGCAATGGTAAACTGTGTGTTGTCCTTGAGGTAAATGGCTATCTATCTTTATAGTCAATATTACTAAGTTACTGATTTGATTTCCTATGTTTTTAAAACGCCCACATACTCCAAATTATGTATTTATGATTAAACTCTAAAGTGTATCTAAACCACAAAACAAAATCCAATATATTACCTGTTACCAGATTTGGTGGCTGCATTACTTTTCTTGTTTTCAGCTTCTACCTTTTATTTTTACTGGTTATTTCTGCCAGTCCATTCTTCCTTCTGTATCAGAGACAGAAACAAGAAACAAGATAGAACTACGAAACCCCGTCCTTCTAATGTCCATAACATAAAGGGACATGATTCTGCAGTTCTCAGAAATAATGTAGAACAATGTGACTGATAACGGTGTACAAAGGAGAGCCCTGGGGGCCCTTTCTGCAGGATCAACAAGTATTTTTTTGGAACTTATTAAACAGTTTTAACAAAAAACGTTCAATGGCATATTTAAAAGGACCAAAAGGGAGCAAATATGAAGATCATTGTTAGGGTTTACATACCCATTAAAATAAATCTGCCACCCATTTTAAAATGTAAAAGTCCAGCCTAATGTGAATTTGTCATTATAATAAAAGAAACTGTTGCTGCTATAAAGCGCAAGCATCTACATGCAACATTCTCCCAACCTCACCCTCTGCCCTTCCCAAATCCTAGGTGATTCTGAGAGACAAAGCTCCAACACGTTTGGGGGAGGCTTTGCCTGTCTGAATGACCCAGGATTCAGCCATGACGGTGGGCTTTTGAGGACTGTTGCAGGTACCTGTGGCAGCTTATGTTATAACACATTCTCTTCAAGAGTGGATGCCGCAGGATGCTTACAATAAACGTTTTATTAGGCAGAAAACCCTCTTCCTTGTGCCTCACTGAAACTAGTTTTAGAGCCTATTCACACCAGGGCGGTTGCAGATCAGCGCAGTTACCGTGCTGATCTCAAATGGGAGGTTTGGGGAATTTTTTATTGCGTTTCAGTGTTGAAACGCAATTGAAAACGCTCAAATCCGCACTGATCAGCAGGGTTCTATAGAAAGCTGTATGGAAATCGCACTGATCAGAGCTGCAAAAATAGTGCAGGGAGCAGTTCAGGCAGGGGGCGGTTCGGATCCTGCAGACCCACACGGTCGCATGAACGGTCCCCATAGCAATGTATGGGATCGTTCATGTCGGCGGATTTGTGCTGCTGAACTGCCCCGGTGTGAACGGGGTCTCACTTTGTTACTGATGTCTGACTTCATGGCTAGGCTCCAACAACTATTTTCAGGTCTGATGAAGGGGGTGTCGCTGCAGAAATGCGTTACCTTGTTTGCCATGCCAGCAGTAGGATGTTTGCTCTAGGCTGCATGTTCATGCTGTGACTGACATTGGACACTTTCACATCGCAGATGTTCCTCTGTTACTACAGGCTTGTTTACACTGGCTTTTAATCTCCACTTAATAAAGCTTTTTACACTAGAGAGGCGCACAATTTTTTATCTTTTCCGTGAACTATTATCACCCTGTCCAATAAGAGTTTTCCTACTGGCCACTGAGGCAGTCTCATTGGATAGTGGAATAGTGCTTGGCAGGACTTGGCCAATAAGTCTGGAAACGTTAGGGTCCAGAAACAAAATGTAAAACAGACGGGAGCACAGAAGAGGCTTTTCTTGCCGGTAAAGGAGACGGCAGGCACCTTGTGGTATCGGCTTTTCTGCAGGACTTTTACTTTCAAAAAAATAGAGTACATGAATTGCATGGGAACAGTCAGGTTCTGTGGCATTCTAAAAGGATGTCAGTCTAACAATGGGAGCATGCTGAGAGGAGGGGTTGCAGAGTGATGACCTCTTTAGTGTGCTGTATGGGGATTGGTCTATGGCTAAACTTTTTTGCTTCACTACAGTCAAGACTTGACTCTGGTGTAATGCTGAGGTTATAAGGGGTGCAAATGAAATATGATCATTTTTGTTTTGCTCAACAGATCATTATTATTAATGTTGTTATAATGAATTATTGTAATATTGTATACTTATGAACAAATTAAGTTTGCTTCCGTGCTTTGTACTGTCCATCGAGGCTGTTTTTGAAATATGACAGTTCAATTTGTTGAATTTTACATATAATAAAGTATCTATCTGGATTCTGGTTACAGGGTGGATATCATCTGAGATCCCTGGCAGAATCGGTCTCCATGACTGTAAAAACATTGCTTGGAGATCCTTTGCCGAGGTTATCTGGAGAAATGGCTCCATGTTTCAGGTATATTTATATATAAAAGGATTTCCGCCAATATGTTGTCACTGTTGGACAGTTTATGGGATTCTAATTCTGCTGGGATATATAGTCGGTACCACTGATAATTTAAATGTGTTGTATTTACCTTTGAAAATGTGTAGTTCTAAACCTGTTCAGCTTGCAACTGATGGTTACTATTTGATCCTAAATTTTAAATGTATAATTTCTGTCCTTTGCTTTCTTCTAAAGCAGCGACAGCCCTGAGAAAAGCTGGTCGACTGCCAGCAGCTTCAGAGAAGAACCCTTGAGTTCTGTGGGGAAGCAGAGGTCTCTTTGCAGAGATCGGACACTTTCCCTACTAAATCAGACCTAAAGCTCTGCAATTGGGAAAGCTCATGCTCCCTTCTGATTGGAAAGCACTGTACTCAGAAGGGGGCTTCCGACCTCTAAAAAGATCACAGCTTCCCCAAAGAGCAAGGTTCCCTTTCTGAAGCATGCTGACATGGGACCGGCTTTTCTAATTACACTGTTGATGATTTTTCTCAGTCGCCAGTCAGTGGACCCGGGAGAATGGATGCTACATCCGGAGGTGTTTCACCAGCTCTGCCTTCGCTGGGGGTTCCCGGAAGTGGATCTCCTGGCGTCTCGCCTCAATCGGCGGGTGGCTCGGTTCGTGGCCAGGATCCTTGGGCGGATGCGGTGGACGCCCTGGTGGCGCCGTGGGATTGCTACGGTCTGATTTACGCGTCCCTCCACTATATCTGTTGCCGCGTCTTCTTCGCAGGGTCGCGGTGAAAAGCGCCCCGGTCATCCTCGTGGCTCCGGATTGGCCGAGGAGGGCGTGGTACGCAGATGTGGTTCGGTTTGTGGCGGACGTCCCCTGGCGCCTGCCGCTCCGTCCAGATCTTCTATCTCAGGGTCCGGTGTTCCATCCGTCTTTACCGTCGTTGGCTTTGACGGCGTGGCTGTTGAGAGCCAGGTGTTGAGGGATCGTGGTCTCTCGGATGCGGTTATCTCTACGATGTTGCGGGCTCGCAAGCCTGTGTCACGACGGATTTACCATCGAACTTGGAAGGCTTATTTTGCCTGGTGTGAGTCGGTAGGATTTCCGCCTCGTTTGTTTTCAGTTGCCAGGATCCTCGCTTTTTTACAGCGGGGTGTGGATCAGGGTTTGGCCTTGAGTACGATCAAGGGCCAGATTTCGGCCTTGGCGGTCCTTTTTCAACGACCGATAGCTTCCAACGCTTTCGTTCGCACTTTTGTGCAGGGGGTTACACGTATCGTCCCCCCTGTTCGCTCCCCGTTGCCGCCATGGGATCTGAATCTGGTACTCTCAGTGTTGCAGGAATCTCCCTTTGAGCCTCTGCGTGACATTCCAATTCTGACTCTATCTCAAAAAGTGGCCTTTCTGGTGGCAGTCACCTCGATCCGCAGGGTCTCGGAATTGGCGGCCCTCTCTTGCTCGTCCCCGTTGCTGGTCCTGCATCGGGACAAGGTGGTTCTGCGGCCTCGACCGTCCTTCCTGCCGAAGGTAGTTTCGGCTTTCCATCTCAATGAGGACATTGTCCTGCCTTCCTTGTGTCCGAAGCCTGTCCACAGGAAGGAGAGGGCACTGCACTGTCTGGACGTGGTCCGCGCCATCCGGGTTTACCTGAGTGCTACGGCTGCGTTTCGGGAATCGGATTCCCTGTTTGTCATTGCAGATGGCCCCCGGAAGGGCAGGGCTGCCTCGTCGGCTACCATCTCTCGATGGATTCGCGACACAGTATCTCAGGCATATGCTATTAAGGGGCGTGAGCCTCCTTTTTCTGTTACGGCCCATTCTACAAGGGCTGTTGGGGCATCTTGGGCTTTCCGTCATGGTGCCTCCGTTTCTCAGGTTTGTAAGGCCGCAACTTGGTCTTCTGTTCACACCTTTGCCAAGTTTTATAAGGTGGATGTTTTGGCATCTGCGGATGCTGGTTTGGGGCGCAAAGTGTAGCAGGCGGCCGTTTGAGGGGAATTTTTTGTTTAAGTTGGGTTTGTTGTTTCTGTTGGCCCACCCCTCTTTTTTGGTACTGCTCTGTGATGTCCCTACAGTACATGATCTCCGATCTGTTCCCTGTGTCCTTCAATGAACGGGAGAGAAAATAGGATTTTGGTACTCACCGTAAAATCCTTTTCTCTCCGTTCATTGAAGGACACAGGGCCCGCCCCTCTATGTGGGTGTGTACTCCTTTACTACTTGTTACTAAACTGGAGACTTGTCAGCAAGTGGGGGGTTTGGCCACCGGCAGGGGCCGCCCCTAGGCTGTAATTGGTCTTTAGTTTTGTGCCTAGCGTCCTTCTCCTGCAGGTTGCGATATTACCCTACAGTACATGATCTCCGATCTGTTCCCTGTGTCCTTCAATGAACGGAGAGAAAAGGATTTTACGGTGAGTACCAAAATCCTATTTTTTGATATTTCAGTAAAAGTTTAAGGATGACATTGTTTGGGCTGGTGTGTCTTTTTTTGCTGGAACTGGAGCGCTGAATTTGGGTACAGTAATGACACAGGGCTTTGTCATAATAGAAATACATTTGGCAAGCCATGCTGTCATGTTCATTTTAATTATTTAAAAAAGAAATACATTTCCAGCAATTTTCCCTGATGCTATGTAAGCTAATTTCTGGGTCCCCCGTCCCCATCCCATACAACCACCCTTTAACCCATACCCCCTCTAACTAATTGGTGGGTTTAGTTAAAATGGTAGGCAATGGTAAGCCCAGATTTAAAGAAGGGACTCTTAGGCCTGAGCCCAGGGCTATAAGCTGCCTCTTGTTCCATTTACCTTATATGGTTTATTATATGATGACCTATTATTATATCGTTTTTCACATACAGTATGCCCATCATGTTTGACTTTGTAAAAAAAAAAAAAAAAGCA